TCATCACTTTTCACTTGAGATTTCAGACATCGCGTAATTAGATGGCTTGAGACGTTATAGTATACATTTCAGGATTGAAGCCAGTGGAGATACAGATGTAATTTTTGATTGTATTGTTATATGAATTGTATTTCCTATTATATACTAATATTGTTCATCTATATCTTTTTCTACTTTCCAATCCACTTAAGCAAACCATGGTTAAGGTACCCTTCACAATTTGTTGAAACCTATAGAGGATTTTATCGCCAAAATAAATAATATTATAAAAAAATAAGAGAAACTTAGTAACTTGGTCTGAAACTTATAATGCCGAGGTCGAGAGTTCGAGCCTCTCTCGGAGCACAGATTTCCCCCCAAATGCCCTGGTACGGCCGAAAGTGGGGAGAGTCCGCTCTCCCTCTCCAAATGCTCTCACATGGCCACGCCTATATAGCCTCTGCCAGGGAAGTCCTACTCACGACGAAAGGCGAATTTCCGGCGCTTCAACCGGATCCCAAACCAATGGTGCACATGGGCCGGCTCCAGTATCCTGAAGGAACAAATGGTGTATGAACCCGATCCTTGGTCACCGGCTACCATGAGACTGCATCTCTTTACGATGCTCCACTGCCTTGTGAGTCAGACATTCAGGTCGAAGGCTCGGGATGTGGCCCCCCTAAGAAAACCACCTGATTCGGTTTGGGCACCCGGGCAGTATCACAGCCCTCACACAAATCAATTGAGATTCGTGTGGCGCATATGTATTTGTTGCCTCCTTGTACCAATACCTATGTGTTAAAATAAATAAATAAATAAACTGAAACAGACAAAATTTGTATGGGATTGAGAAAAAAATACTCTTGATGTTGAATTGATGAACACAGAAAACACAAGTAAACTTTAATGATGAAATAATGAAGCACAGTTATTCATATGTCACAGAAATATAAATGGCGACATTAAATGTGGATAAACATATACATAGATTAGATTCACAACACAAACCAAACTGTCAATCTTTTCTCTATATCACAACATAATAGTTACTTTAACGAACAGATAATCATTATGGGTCAGATTTTAAATATTGATTAATTTCATATATTAAATAAGATTGATTCCGTGAAGAGTTTTCTTTTCGGTGAATTCATTTTCAAAGTTTTACAATTGCAAATATATATATACTTCTTTTTATTCAGAATGATAATAAACCTCTGTTAGACATGGTGACAGTGAGGTAGAATAAACAAAAGTATTAAAAACAATTTTTTTAAACAGGAAAACTAATAAATTTACTTGGTATTGTTTGCTTGTATATTTTCATTGTTATTTAGGACGGCAATTGATCAGTCTTATTGGCATATGTGTATACTGTGCTTATTGCCTCGATATTACCTTAATTCATAAGTATTCTATGCAAACTAACAATCGTTTGATTGCTAATGGTTTAAATATTCACCAAAAGATAGATAAGAAAATTATTATTGGGAAAGGATGGCTCAGTAAGATAAGATAAAATGTTGAAATTAAGACTAAATGTAATCAGGAGGATCATATAAACGATTATTAGTTTACCTGATCAATTGCAGGCCTAAATAACAATGGGAAAATACAAGTAAACTAACATCAAGTGAATTTAAACTTCACCCCATTGCACAAGCAAGTGGCTATTAAGACTCAGTAGCTAAGTGGGTAACGCGATGGCGTTTGAAACGAATGGTACTGGGTTCGAGTCCCGGAGCGAATATCAACTCTGCGATGCATGTACATCCAGCTGAAAAGTCCCAAATAGGGCGAAACGCGAGTCAAACTGGATTCCACTGCTAGCCACTAACCATCTTTGCTTGAAAAGCTTTTGACTTAAGGCTATATCGAGGCGATCCGCACATGATGCGCATATGCCAACATGAGACTGTTCAATTGCAGTCCTAAATAACAATGGGAAGATACAAGTAAAAGAACACCAAGTGAATTTGATTATTAGTTTACCTGTTTAAAAAAAATAATTTTAATACCTTTATTTATTTTACTTCCTTGTCACTATGTCTAACAGAGGTTTAATATCATTCTGAAAAAAGTATATATATTTGCTAATGTACACCTTTGAAAATTAATTCACCGATAAGGGAACTCTCCAGTGAATCAATCTTTTTTATTTAATGTCTTAATGGGTGTACTCCGTTTACTGCCCCCAAATGCCCTGGTACGGCCGAAAGTGGGGAGAGTCCGCTCTCCCTCTCCAAATGCTCTCACATGGCCACGCCTATATAGCCTCTGCCAGGGAAGTCTTACTCACTGCCTTCTCGTGGCATTACTGTTGTTTACGAAAATGAGAGGACGAAAAGCGAATGTCCGGCACCGGCTTTAACCGGATCCCAAACCAATGGTGCACATGGGCCGGCTCCAGTATCCTGAAGGAACAAATGGTGTATGAACCAATCGTTGGTCACCGGCTACCATGGGACTGCATCTCCTTACGATGCTCCACTGCCTTGTGGGTCAGACATTCAGGTCGAAGGCTCGGGATGTGGCCCCCCTAAGAAAACCACCTGATTCGGTTTGGGCACCCGGGCAGTATCACAGCCCTCACACATATCCAATGAGATCTGTGTGGCGCATATGTATTTGGTGCCTCCTTGTACCAATACCTATGTGTTATAATAAATAAATAAATAAATACTCTGTTTACTAATTTCAAACGAACACTTAATATATAGATCCACTTGGATTAATTCAATCACTTATTGTAATGATCAATAAGTTTTGCTATTAATGTTGGGATATTAAAAAATATGATAATTATGATTAACAAAAAATACGTATTACGTATGTCTAGTCACTGACTAATTCAATAACTGTTGTTAGCTGAAGGGAATTAATTGGTAGACAAATAAAATTTGACATTAATCCATCAAGTTATGAACTACTGGGGAAAAGCCGTGTAAGTAGATGCAGAATATAGTACCTAACGGTTGGAGACGTTAGTTGATATGGGTAAAAATTGATTAAAGTTGAACAGATGAACTGACTTATTTTCTTCTCTTAAATTTCGAGTTTTAAGATTTTTTCCTAGCCCACGAATTAGTTCTTTCTTCTTAAATCATATTGCCTATGATTAATGTATTCAACTATCACTGATACAGATGTTGTTTTTACTACTTTTAGGATTTATCTTAATAATTTCAGATTCCTGTGATGATATGGATATTGATGCCAGATTCTACGTTCCTTGTAACTCATTGATTGGCTAATTTTATGTTTATTCATGGATTATAACTGGAAACAATTGTGAGGAATGTCCAGTTAAACTTAAATTTTGTGTTAATTAGTTAGCGCTTATCATTAGCCTCATTCTTTATGACAGTCAGAAATATTATCAGTTAGCGATTGACCTCCTTCAGGTCGAGTTTTATATTAGCTGATCACTGAGTAGTAACTAACATCGTGTTTATCTAAACCCTTAGTATTGATTAGATTCTATCAATCAAGTTGCAGTGTGACTATTCAGTTATTTCGAGTGTGACTGACGAGACGTTTTAGACAGGGATTGTTAAATTACAAGGAATATGGTTAAAATTTAAAACTTCAATAGCGAAGTAAGGTTAGGAGCAAACATAAAGGTGTCTATTATTCGTAAATCACAATAAACATGAATTCAGTGCATTTGATACTTATTATGAGGCAGTCTAGACACATTTTCCATAACCTCCAATTGGATGTTTATAGAACATGTACATATATGGCTTCAGAACATGTTAGTCTCAACTTCTCCGATAAACATAGGAAGTAGAAAACCATGTTTATCAATAGCAAAACATATAGTTGAAATGGGGTATAGGATAGACATCAACAAAATTTCTTAAATGTTGTAAAGGAACTATCAAGAACAAATTTTTGGGTTTGTGGAAGACTTGGCTATTGAAAAATTCAAACTGCCTTTGTGTATACAGAAATAGTTTGTCGTAACCTTGACATCTAGCTTAGGCCATTTTACAGCCTAGGATGGTGTGACGAATTTCTGTTCTTTTAATATGAACTTTTTCATTTCTTTTGCTTAAAATGACACCTTTGTTTAGTTGAATTCTTATTAACTTTCGTGTAAAATACTTTAACAAATATGTATAAAAATAGTTTGTTCGAAATGTATAACACAAATATATCAAATTTTTTAGATCAACTCCGTCTTTTGATTATTCTATCAAAATTTATAAAAGGGAATAATAGGCCTTCCTAGCACTAGACATGTTCGTGATACACGAAGTCACTAACTGTTGAAATGGAGATTTCATGGATGAAGTTGATATATTAGGAATTAATGATTAAAAAACTGTAAGCCAAAAAGCTCAGTGGTGCAGATATACCTGTGTTCTTTTAAAACGTGGACAAGTCATTCTTCTGTTGGCGTAAAAATCATCGTCAATGTTATAACCTAGTTATAGCTAAGAAAATCAAAAGATGGATACATAAGTTAACTCGACGAATAGATATATTCTAAAACTCTCTAAATTAATCTGTACTGGTCTCCCATCAACTTTCGGCCCGACACCTAAACAAGTGAAAAACATTGGGAAATCAAAGGGTCATTTCGTGATCCATGAGTGAGAAAGTCAGTATTTATACATTTTTAGTATCCTTGGGAATCACTCATTTAAGATATGTTTTGTAGAGCCTGGCTTGATGGTAAGTGCGTGATTCGAAATGGCGACCGTTAAAAATTCCTTTATCGAATGGCTTGGGTCGAATTTTCGGGAAATAATATATTTGCTTTCCTCCTCTTTTACTTCATTTAAATCCTACTTGATATTTATTTAACTTTCCTTTGTTAAGCACTCCAACATGAGCCAATGCACTGCAGAACATGGCTTTACATAATTAATCGTCCATCCGTACCTTCCGAAATCACTACTTGACTCAGATCATCATCTTAAGTGAGTAGTAGTAGTAGCACTTATTTAAATTAACAATAAACATACGTAAAATGATAATTAAAATAGCAGTTCAAACAAACTAAGACTAACCTTTGATAATGGAACACTCATAATAAGGATTATTGCCATGAAAAATTTTTCTTTCACCAAATCATTAATTACTTGTTTACACCCCTAAAAAAACACACGCAATTAAATAATTACTAATAATATTTACATAAATTTCATTATAGGTTGTTCTGGAAATTGTTAAATTTGAATTTGCACATTTTAGACCAACTATGGTCAGACAATTACTGAAAAACAGGAAGCACTGAACTCAATAACAATACATATCTACGTCAACCTCCGCTAACAGGGTCGATTTCAAGACCTTTAGGACACTTGGACTATTAAGTTGGCATCCAGTGACTTACTACTAGGAAGGAAAATCTGTCCAGTACATTCGGGTTTTTAGTGACTGTCTAACTGAAGTCAGTCCATGATGTTAAGCTATAAGTTATGTAAATATCTTGAAACAATCGTTACACATACAAATGATAGGTTAGGATAACAAGTTGATAAAACACAAAATTACTGGGAATATTTCAAGCTTAGCAAACATTCCCAACACATCGTGTAATTTCATATCTTTAGCCATAGATTGTGATCATCGTACAGATTGTAATCTGAAAGTATACACCTACACCCTTATATGATTTCTTTCAAAAAAATTTTTTGTGACTAGGTGAAAAATGAAGCAATTAGATGATTATCTATAGTACAAGTTATGATTACGAATTGTTTCCGGTGAAAATTAGATTAATTAAAGAAAATTGTGACATGGACAGTTGAAAGGATTGATTAAACAGCATAACACTGACCAACCAATTATATTTAATATAGTATTTCTTGAATTTTTTCGAATTTAAAACACCGTAACAAATAATTTGTACCTACTTCACTCATAACTAAGTAAAACATTCCAATATTTGATTATAAAAACACTTAACATAGATAAGCATAGAAAGAATAAACTTGTGGTGTCTATCGAGATAAGTAGTATGTAACACCAAGCGGAAGTGGAAAACCCGGTAGCGGAAGGCTAAGAAGATTGAGTTAAAAAGAACAGAAGAGAAAATAGAAAGAAATTGTTGAATGGAAAGGATCATGGAGAATGTGAAGGACAAATGATGGAAATTCGTAAATGAAGTATTTAGTGTATGGTTCTTATATTTTACCAAGGGATTCTGTAATCTTGTATTTAAATACAACCGGTTGTTCCCGCTTAAGTCTTCGTTCATTACAAACGGATAGTTAGAAAGTAATCAATTTTTTATAGAAAAAATAATGAAATTAAAGTACATGTTATATTTTAACATGATTCACAAACTTAACATAAAGTTTCCTGAGCTTTGAAATCAAAGAGCTAACTGTCCATATGACTACAATGTGTCCTCTCATCTTAACGTTTTTAGTATACTACAATAAATTATTCATTTATACTACCTGAGTTATGAATGCTTAATGACTGGGCTAAGTTTGAATGTTAATTTTCGAGTCGCTTAAAGTGGTAAAGAACAGTCGTGCCGAAAAATTCTATGTATAGTCTTGTAGACTTCTAACCTAATCAACCAATCGATGTCATGTCATATGGTCTTAAAGTAGCCCTGGAGGCTTAGTGACTAAAGTATTTGGAGTTCAACCATAAGATTACAGATTTGTACCACGCTTAACCCTTCACATGGTGTGATTTGAAGTCAAGTAAATAAATGTGTACTTTGTGAGTTACAACAAAGGTAGCATTGGGGATAACTGTTGAACAGTCCATTTCTTATTAGGTATGCAATCCAATATCTAACAAACTCTGAAGAAAAGATAAATTCTGAAAAACAGTGAATAATCCAGCCCAAAAGTGCATTTCATGTCAGATATATGTACAAGAAGAAATCACTGTTAGTCAAAATGAGACCCAAGAAATGAAATAGCTATAAACACCCACATATTTGGCATGGAAAAAATTCTGTAAGACAAACAAAAATAGAACTCTGGAAAAATGCACATAATTGACCTATGAAAAAGTAAGACAGGTTACTTTTAATCTCTCGTCTGATAAAGAAAGGTGGAGGAAGAAGAAACAGGAGGAGAAAACATAAATTTCTACCTTCTACCACCACTATCATCACCATAATCAGTTTACAAATTATATTGCTCCAAAATGTCAAAAAGGTAGAGAAATGCACAAGGTCATTTAGTGAATAATTCATTATATGTGAATCCTTTGCGTTAAGTAAAAAAAGTGTAAAGGAAGTTAGAAACTGATAAATGGCTTATACGTATACATCGATATATAGTTTCTGACAGAAATATAACAAATATGTGTATACTAGTTTATCAACTATGGAGCAAGGTATTTAAGTTATTCATTAAGATATATTCTTGGTTGTGTTTGAAGCATCTGTTAACGTGGTTAACACGTATAATAGCTGAAACAGAACCTGTAACCCTCAGTCAATAATAGATAACATGGCATCTAACATGAATATGAGTCACGTTAAGACCCCATAGCTCATCACATCAGTATAGAAAGTAATGAAATAATAGGGATGGAAAATAGGGGTGGACAAGTAATACTAACTGCAGTAGAAAGCTAAACACGATGAATGTAGCCTTGGAAAGATAAACGGAATAAAAGAACGGGGGATGGATGAAATCAAACACAAAAGCAGGAAGAAGTAGGCTATCTGGTTGGGGCCAGAGCGATAACTATGACCAGTGGTTGGAGATATTAAGCGACACAGCTCATAACAGTGCAATAGCTTAGAATCAATCACTCTTTATCCCCCAATATATGCTGATTTTCAAATTTATTATACACCTCTTATTCTGAAGATTCATTCAACCTTCTCGAATAGGATTCCCTTAGCATGTTTTATTACTATCACTAGTCCTACCACTAATTCGACATTCACCTTGATAGTTTGACTTAGCTAGGCTGATGTGACGTACCAGCTTGAACCGACGCACATATGCTAAGTTCTATGATGTTTATGGCTGAGTGGTTGATTCCTTCACTAGTAGGTTGGTGTTTAGAAAACCTGCTTTTCAGCTAGTGGCCTTCAGGTTTAAATCCCACTGCATTTATTTCTGTCTTGGTAGCTAGACGAGCAGTAGAATCATTAACCCTTACACAACCAGCGTGGCTAAGTTAGTCACTCATAGTTTTTATTCCTTTCATCCCTGTCTGGTTCGTTCAAGGCCAATAAAATCTGAAATAAAACATAAAATTCTCATAATGAGATATTTAACACATTGTTGGGAAGATATCTGTCAGGGAACCTTATCGATTTGAAGGTACTGTTAATAGGCACCCTTATCAAATCATACTAAGGAAACAGGTAACTTCGAAACATGTCACATGTTGATAGTAGTGACTCACTCGCCATCAACGTACACCCCAGCACATATGTACTTCATTCCAAGTCGCCATATTACGTTAACATAATTAAAAAAGACGTCAAAATAATATAGCACAAATGCCCCCAAATGCCCTGGTATGGCCGAGAGTGGGGAGAGTTCGCTCTCCCTCTCGAAATGCTCTCACATGGTTACGCAAATATAGCCTCTGCCAGGGAAGTCTTACTCACTGCCTTCTCGTGGCATTACTGTTGTTTACGAAAATGAGAGGACGAAAAGCGAATGTCCGGCGCTTCAACCGGATCCCAAACCAATGGTGCACATGGGCCGGCTCCAGTATCCTGAAGGAACAAATGGTGTATGAACCAATCGTTGGTCACCGGCTACCATGGGACTGCATCTCCTCACGATGCTCCACTGCCTTGTGGATCAGATCTTCATGTCAAATGCTCGGGATGTAGCCCCCTAAGAAAACCACCTGCTTCGGTTTGGGCACCCGGGCAGTATCACAGCCCTCACACATATCAAATCAGATCTGTGTGGCGCATATGTATTTGGTGCCTTCTTGTACCGATATCTATGTGTTAAAATAATAAAAATAATAAATACGTCGAAAAAGATTGAAAATTGAGATTATTTGAAAAAAGAAAGCAGAAAATTATGTCTGAAGTAATACCGAAACTCACAAAAAGAGTGAATGCATCTGTACAAATGCGGCTGGTCGTGACCCAGATCACACAGTCCTTAACCACTGATCGCAGTTATTAAGCGAGCCTTAACCACGTAATTTGTAGCTATCTACTCAGCTCAAACAACAGTCTATGAACCCATCGACTGATTCAATATTTTCTTTAGTCCGACCCTAGCTTTTTCTAGCTCACTCCTGCACAAGCCAACATCACCCGTTGATGTAAACGTTATTTTGGTATAATTAACACATATTCTAACTACCTCAATTGATGAATAACGACAAATTCATCAACACTGTGAATAAAACTTGAGTTTTCACATCTGCGATTGATGACATGCCAATTTACCGGTCTTCATTTCCCGATTTCCTTCAGGGTTTCGCACTACGCGTCCTGTGTTCAACTTATTTTAATTAACATGAATACCATTATTAATACTTTTCCTGCCTGTGCTTCGTTAACTTCGTTTTGTTATTGATGATTCGAGTGTGCAAACTTGAATCAATTCATATTTGTCCTATATATTATAATGATTAAGACTAATCAAGAACTTTGAAACTATTTCGAAATCGAGTTTTGTAAAAGCATAAAGTTAATATTATTTGATACAAGCTCAGAATACCTTATCGAGGGCATTTCTGACGTTATTAGTAGGTTAAAGATGTCAACCCAAAGAATGTACTGTAGAATAACAAAGTTAGTCATCATCAACGTAGAGCCTGGGACAGGTGTATGTCTCTCCAAGTCTATGTACCACAGTAACACAATCAGATGAGTAGCAGAGTCAAAAAAATCTTAATAAAAATGACAATGAAAAAAACTAAATTTTCGTAATATAATACGAAAAGATAGAGTAGAAAGTTATGTACGAAGGAGTGCCAGAATTCAATATCGAGAAGATCAAAAGTGCAAGCACCTGCATCATGGTAAGGATTTTAAATCATATTGGAAAAAGTTACGCTGTACAGTTAAGCTTTGGAGAATACTTACATATCTAATTACACACGAGTGACCGTCAATAGTGTCAAAAGTTGTAGCAACGATAATAAGACGAAATTTTTCTGACTTCGGTATTAATAACCAAACGAATGTCTTACGTAAAACAATAAAATTAAGGATACAAATCTGACCTATAATTTACTGGAATGTTTCTTTTTTCTAAAGAAAATCAATGCTCTATATGTAAGAAATGAATAAAAACGAATGTGACGCTATGAATTATATATATAAGTAACGAGAATCGAGAACGATTGTATGTCTGTCGATTACTAGTAGTATTACTATTTTATGCACATATACAGCTGTTATTCGTTTACTGAGTAAAACTTCTGTATATCGGACTTCCAGCCATACTCCTCAGTGTATTGAAAAAGAATGTGATGTTATCCGATTGCCTAAACCACAGTAGATAGAACAGAGTTCAAACCAGAGACTACCTAATTATTCCAAGCCAAGTAATCCAACTACTAGATCCCAGTTGTATTCATGAAAATAGACAATGTAACTATACAATAGTATGTGGTTATGGGATGAAATTAGATGCTGGATGACCTCTGTATTCTATCACTACTATAAGCAAAGTACTGGTCGCATTTAATCATATAATGTTAAGTAGGTGGTGGTCGGCAACCTAAATTCCACGAGAGGTAACAGACGTAGGTGAGTAAGGGATGCTGAGATCAAGCTTTCTTTTTCATTATACAGACATATTAGCCAATCTTGCACGTTGGGCGTAAGTGATGGTTAGAGTTGAGTACCATATGTCCTAACCGCTTCAATTGATAGAGGTTTACGACCCAATCAACAGACATGCTTTCTTATCTAATTCCTTGAATGTAACCAGTTAACTAGAATTAAATAATTCAGCTTTTTTTGTTTTCTAACTGCCTTGCTTATTTACTTCCAATCAACTGAGTGTTGTAGTCGAAGAAGTAGTATTACGAACTGTCATTCATTATGATTATCATAACAGAACCAAGTAACTACCTATCCTATAGTTCTAATCAATTAGAATAATCGAAAGCGGGGAACCGATGACTTATCCACTGACTGTTCACGCTCTTAGCAGAAAGAGATAGATACGTTACATATTTGTCTGAATTATTTGTTGGAATTGAAATAACAACATTATGTGTTGTGAAGTGATTAGCAAGCTCAACCACTTCATTTTCTATAGTCAAAAGAAGGTATTGACACAATAGAATATCGTTGAAAATTTTTTTGATGAAAACCAACCATTTTAATAAAACGGATAAGCAATCACAATTCATTTTGGAGAAATTATACTTATCACATACTATAGTATACGAGGCAGATTTGTCTGGACAATTTCGATGCTTCGGAATGCAACATGATAATGGGACAGTTAATCCTGGATAATCATTCATTCCATTGATACCACAACAATGAAGCTGTAGGAGCAAAAAACAGAATAAATGAAAAAATGTCAATGAAAACAACTGCGACTGTCTTGGTTTATGATAAAATGATGAATTAATTGGGTTTTATAAACACCTTTATAAGTGATTGATCATTTAGTAGTGAACAACGTCATGTTTGTCCAGAGAATCTTTTAACGCTGATTGAATTCTATCAGGTAGTCGGCAATAAACCTGGACTAAAGTTTCATTTCAGCTAGCACTACTTAATAAAGCGTGCCTGTGATCTTCAGGGAGCTGATGCTTCCAATGGGATTCGAACCCGTTTAATCAGACTAATGAACATTTATGTGACAGTATTCGTTACGGAATGTCTAAAATATCGAAAAAATTATGAACCTGACCGGGCTCAAGTTTAATCTTTTATCATGAATTTAATTTCGAATTCTGTGTCTCCATCACTCATTTAAACCTTTTAGTATGATATTCAACTAGAGTGATAGGAATAAAAGTCTAAAACGTTTTCTTTATGATCCAATAAATACAAATATTTTGAGTGGCTTGTACAGTCTTACTAGTGTTAGCTAGTTAGCAAGTGAAAAAGGTCACGAGTTTTGTTACACAGTTGTAACGTCAAGCAGGGAAATATTTACCCTGCCATATAAACAGTGGCATAGTATTAGTTTAGTGATTAAATTCTATCACATGTTGGTATTCGCGGATCCTGTAATGTGCATCGGTTATCATTAGGTGAACCACTTTCCTTCTACTTTGCTCAGTTATTCTCCATCCCAATGGGTAGTTGATTGGAGGTCTGTATCTTACACTTGTTAGTAAAACATGCTGACGAAGACACTCGTGGAGAAAACACAGTTGTTATCGAAAGGAAGCTCGCCTTTTGGAGAAATTCTCCCATTTTCGAACAACGAGAAGCGTACTACGCTTATATGACTTTAAGATGGTGAAGATTTGTAACTCAGGTGGATGATTTTGATAGACTTTTGTTCTGTGAACTGGATGGTTTGGTCGTGGAGCCTTCATCGTTTGTCTGAACGAAATCATCAGCACAAACTTCAGGTAGAAGTTCCACGACAAAACCATCCAGCTCACAGGAAACTTCATCAAAAGTGATTAAATTACTCGACTTTCAACTAGTGCGTTACAAGGCCGAAACTCGCACCACCTTATTTGCACCGCATAGTCCAGAAGTATCATCAACCCCCACACTTGCGAATATGGCCAAAATCGAATACACGACCCGTTACTTGGTTGCTGAGTCGTACTGATAAAATCACGACGCAACTGTGTTTCAAACTCGGAACAAAATTTTCAATACCATCAAAAATGTTTGTTTTGCATTTTCAAGTTTTTAGCACATTTCGATTTTACAGTTGTTTCAAAACACAACCTTCTGATGAATTGATATGCCCTAAATTAATCCTATGAGATTGTTGACAAAGGATAGATTGGCGAAAGATAATATTCCAAGCAAAATTTCAGTGACCATATCCACTGAAAAGACATCATAGAATTTAGACATTAGGATAGTTACATCAAAATTATACTGTATCGTCATTTTTACTTTCTTCGTCATAGATTAAAATTTAATTTGATAGCAAATAACAACAAAATATAGAACAAATTTCAATCCTTTTGGTTATTAAACAATGGTGAATATGAAGAAAACGTACGCTTTTTTGCATCCAATCACGGTAAGAATCACTTTTGTCGAAGTTTTCATCAACCGATTCATTTTTAAATCGCATTATAATATTTTCTAAAGCTTGAATAATCCTTCTTTCCGTCTAATATAGGTTAAGTAGTTACAGTTTACTTACTTCAACTTTAAATACTAAACACAGAGCCGCTGTAGCTATTTCAACTCCGAACATAATAGTTAAACAAATAGAGTATGTTCCAAGTAGGCAGCGAGATTCGTGATATGCTCCACAACATCCAAAAACAGCCACAACAATCGTTAACAAGCCTAGACCGATAAGAGCATATAATAAGTTTTGCATTTTATCAGCATGTCCAGAACGAGATACTGCACTTTGAATTAATGAATCCACATAACAATATACGGCAAAACATAATATTGCGGCACCAATTAACTATTAATAGTGAGAATATATTGGTAAATAGGAAAATAATTAATCCACGTACAATCAAGAAAACTTAAGCGATGACTGATTTTGACAGATTAAATAGATCGGTTTAATAATAAATAGGTTTGGTCCACTAAATGACTGAAATAACCGTAAGTTTTAAATAATGTATTAGGTTTTTAGCCGTTAAAATACTTCAAAATAACACATGGAGGAATCAACAACAAGAACTGTAAAAGCTAAACTAAAGTACTTTAATTTCAAAACAGAATGGAGGGTCGTAACAGCGACCTCTAATTTCTATAATAAAGTTTATCTTAGAAAACCAAAGACTGCACAAATATATACTAGCTCAAGTTATCACCTCAAAGTGGGACAAAAAAGAGAGGACAAGAAAAATGATCATACTAATTTGATTAAAACGTTGAATGAAAGGATGTGATCGAAGGATGATATGAAAAAACATGTCCAACCAATACACTTTTATAAACAACTCAGTTCAGCAGCCAATGACTTTATGGTTTCATTGTGACATCCCTTCTTTTATTTACTTATCCTATCAAACTTACTGGCCAATGAATCGGGTTACTTTTTGCGAGAAACGTCTACTTGATTTTCCTAATTAAGGTGTCTATTTGATTAAACATTAGCTACATGAAAGGATAAGTGATTCAGTTAGTCAGTAAGGCGGACATTTTGTTATCTTGCATGGTCTCTGTAATCTTATAACATAGATACAACAAATAATACATTTTTAGAATGTGTACTTCTTTCGTGTAAAAGCGTATATCACCGAAGTCACAAATAAAATAACTATATGTTTTGAGTCAAACAAAATGACTAAGTGTGAAATTTCGAGTAATGTAGGAACTTGGGAATTAAAAACAAGGAGCAAAATTTTATCGGATAATTTTTAAAACCCTGTGCACTCAGCTCAAAATTATAAATATAATATTAATGATTCTTCGTCGCTATGTTAAGAACAGTTTAGCACAGTTAATCACAGGCACAGACATTTTTGGATAAAATCTTGAGCTTATTTATTTACTTAAGTACTTACGGGGATAACTTTCTGCCAGAATCATTAAAAATCGGTTTTCTCTTTTACATCGTCAATTTGTAGACTTTTGAGTCAAGCAATGACTCGTCGCCCTAGGGAATTCAAACCAGATAAGATCAAAAAATCAGTGTCACAACACTCAACAGGAACTCAGTCCGTATTTATATCTTATAAATTTCACTGACTAGGTCCTCTGCTTGTTTAATAGGTATATTATCTAGGTGTTGGCTTGGACAAGAGTTAAAATGAGTAATCAACCTCAAATTTCCAGAATGCATTGAGAAGCAGTTGGCTATTTCAAAAGCATCTGAAAGAATAAGAGCAAAGACCTCCCGTAATATTTATTTTTAACTTAACTCAGATATAAACCCTAACATTAGGACATAATACGACCTCCAAGACAGTTCACACAAGAGTATAATGTTATAAAAAAGAAAGCAAGATGGCAGGAAATGAGTCACAAGATGATGACTTTTTTCGGTCCATTGAAACTACGGATGAAGTTGAAATGTGCACCGACTTCAAGTCGTTAGTTAAGTATTCATTTTCTGCTATAATGTGTGCACTATATGTAATTTATGGGCAATCAATGGGAATAAATTAACTAATTTTAATGGTTGGATTGATGAGTCAATCCAAACTAGACCACCATTGAAAATCTGGAAGCACTGGACGGCTGTTTCGTTCTAGTATGGAATCGTGGGTGAGCACTGCTGAGAAACCCCATACTAGGACGGTATAGCTGTTCAGTGCTCTCAGGTTTTTAATGTTGGTCTAGCTTAGATTGGCTTATGAATTCAACCGTTGAAATTACAATCTCCAGATATCCTTATTCTGGTAATAATGAATTTTACCTAGAATCCTGAATAAGCAAGTAATTAAATTTTATATGAAACTTGGGACAAGTTTTTTAATTTTGTTTTATTCCTTTGTCGTGAGACGTATTAGAAAGTGTAGATTTATGTAATAGGCCTCAAAATAAGCTTATATGTGATGGGTAGTAATGTCATCCAGTAACCCTAACCGCAGCAGAACTAGAGCTTCCGGTTGAAAAACTACGTGGTAAAGTGACTGACACTAGAAACAAACAAAAATCAGCTGAAATTGCAAATGCAATTAAAAATAGTTCTTAAATATGCCTGAAAATTTGCCACGACACACTATAACCTCAGATGTTAATCATAACTCGATACCCGTAAAACAAGTATTGATACAAAAATGCTTGAGCTGATTTCTGTTAAAAATCAGAACTACTCTATGTTTTTATTAATTGCTAAATTCTAAAGCATACATCATTTCCGTTTAGTTAAAACTATTGTTGAGTGAGTGGATATGATTCTCGCGTCCAGACAATGGAGCAATTACATCCGATTGTTACATCAACCTTTCCGTTCGTCTACAATCCCTTATAAACGTACAAATAAGAAAGGTTTATATAAATTTATCGTTTATTCGACTGATCAATTACACTACACAGACGATGATCGAGTTTAAAAAAACAGTAAAAACTTCCCAAAAGTATGTCATTTCTTGGACGTACGGATACCGAATAGGTGACGAAAGATATATCTTAACTTAGAATATTTATGAATGCCCAAAGAATGAAAAATAAGTCTTTAGTTGTAATTCAATCAACTATTAACAAGATTAACACAATTACATTAAGAAACTAATCTTACGATTCTGAAAAAGAACGCACATATAAAATGTGTTCAGTATTTAGTCACGTGAATATGGATTACGGAGACTTACGAGAAATATTACATTAAATGTCATTAATGCAACGACGAGGAACGTAGTGCATCCTCTACCCATCTTCCCGCCGCTAAAGGTCGTGGAAGCGAAACGTTATAGGTTATCTGATTGTTCAGCAAAAGTAAATAACCCAACTGGAAATTCGGACGTTAAGTACTTAGGGAGTCTAAGATTATTTTACTTTATTTATTTACCTTCACGTACCCTTATCATATGTCATGTAGTCATACAGTTTTAGTTGTTGATTTCTATATCCTTTCCAAGAGTGATATGTCAGCTGAAGTCAGAACTAACATCTTCAAAGTAAAATGAGAGAAATACCACACCTGTTGCTTTCAGAAGATTGGACTTTAGAAACAGAATCCTTCTCTGAAAATGGTTGGAAATTCACAAATGTAAGTTACCACAGTAGACGCACTTTGGACAAAACTACGTCAATAAGAACTTTACATCATGGTTCAATAAAAAACGTTCGTGTTCCTTACTGTAAGAGAAGGAGAAAATGAAGAGGATTAAAGTTCTTAAGCTTAGTTCTCACTAAGGTTTTGTATACTGTAGTGAACATGCTAGTACCTAATTTGGTGAGTTTGTCTTAAAGTCAATAGTGTTCTAAACACCTTAGATGCAACCTCTCTGAAGTGCGCCATGGGCTTAAGATCATGACTAACTGTTACCCCAAGATCCTTGTGAGACTGGATCATGGGTACAGGATTTTCTATACTGTACCTGTTTACCTTTGTATCCTCAAAGTACATGTAGACACACTTTGCCGCGCTGACAGACATCAGCCACTCTTTAGACCAGTTAATCGCAGTTCACTTGATGTTGTTTGGCTTTCATCTTCCTGTTGAGGTTTAAAACCGCAATTGATCAGTCTGTTATTGACATATGTGCATACCGTGCGTATGCCTCGATATTGCCTTAATTCACAAGCTTTTTGTAAGCAATGATGGATAATGGCTAGCAGTGGAATCCAGTTTGACGCGCGTTTCGTCCCATTTTGGACTCGTCAGCTGGATGTATCTGCATCTCAGAGTTGATGTTCACCCTGAGACTCGAACCCAGTATCATTGCACAAGAAAGTGGCAATCAGAACTTAGTAGTTAGTGGATAACGCGATAGCGTTTGAAACGATCGCTACTAGATTCGAGTCCCGGAGAGAACATCACCTCTGGGATGCGGGTACATCTAGATGAAGAGCCTCAAATATGAAGAAACGCGCGTCAAACTACATTCAACTGCTAGCCACCATCCATCATTGCCTACAAAAAGTTAATCACAATATTTTAATCTGCCTGAAGTGTGTATACATCTGAATCTAATGTTATGTCTCTGTTAGGTTTAAAGCTTAACGAGTTCACTTAAATTGCGAACGAGAACGAGGTTCGATGGCCGACGACCAGTCAGCTAGCTAATGACGCGTCCTAGCCCCACTATCTAGAGAGAGGAGACCAGGCTTGAAATGAGAGTATATTCTCCGCGAAGTTTGAAAGTGGTAACTGTTTTTCACGTAGTCTTGAAATTCTTCAACTTGTTCATTTGTAGGGTGTATTATACGGAGACTATCATCCCATCTTGTATTTCGGGTACATTTTACCTGAAAAATAAAAAAATTTTCGACGCATACTTACCAGCTCCTATTATTCCGATTTTGGACTTAGGTCTAAAATAGATCTAAAATTTATTATATACTCATAGTCTCCAATCCTTCTATTAGCCAGGTTAATACTTAACAACTACTAATACTCTGATATTATATTTGGTTTAACGAGCTCTGTACCCAGTTTGAAATCGTGGTCAATAAATCCAGTAAAAGAGAAATTTCACTAACTTCTAAGCCAAATAAAAGTTCCAAATCTATAAACCTATGACTGACGACTCAGTACCTGGCAATGTCAAACCTTTAACAAGTGAGCAATATGCGCATTGTACACAAATGTCACTAACATCACCTGAATCTCCATGTTACTGCCCCTCCATCTCTGTGTGCAGTATGCCAACGGTAAGACTGGTTGACATACAAGACACTATACCCATGTGCATCGAAACGTCAGCACAGTCTACCAGACAAGGATATTTGTCTTAGAGCATGCGGTATGCTGAACGTTAACTGCAAAGTCAAACGCCTTAGAAAAAAGTCAGACAGATCTACTTGCCTCCTCCTGTTTATGTTTGGCTGTTGTAACGATGCTAAACAGTTTATCGATTCGAGCAAAAATATTAGCTCACTAATCCCATACAAAAGTATAAAAGTCACTCCAGATCTTACGCCCTGTCAACGTCGTATAAGAAGACCTGAAGCGATAGGATTGCATGGTAGTATCACAGTGAATAACCAGCCAGAATCATTTTGCAACAATAAGCATTACATCACTCCACGAACGGTCGATCACTCTGTTGATCTAGATGAGTCTGCTGATCAGAAACCTTTAGATAAGATACGGACCCCAACTGTCACCAAAAAACATAACGAAATGTCTAGTCCCAGCTGCTCGCTCAGCAATGTACTAAGATGTGGGTCGTGCGACAACACGCACCCAACTAAACTTAAAAGTTAGTCCTCCCAAAGATACTTCACAGGTTGACTCGAATAAACCTAAATTCATCTCACAGCAACAACGAAAGACTCCAGCTCTGACAAAAAAGGGTGGGATGACAAGACTCACGATACCGAGCAAAGAACACATAAGGTTGAACCCAACTGCTCTATAGGTATCCCAACAACAGTGAACAGGTTCTTCCCGATGATACCATATAACTTGCCTTCAACACCTCTAAGTTGCAAAATGGGTAGTGGGCTACAGCGTAACAAGCCTTTTTACACACAGACTTACAAAAACTACCAGAGTACTGATCACTCCAAGCACTCCCTAGAGCTTAAAACCATTAATAAGAATGGTAATAATAGGTTTCTCACTCCATATCCTATCTACATTTCCCAGGATCATAATTGTAACTACTCTTAGAAAGAAAACTTTTCACACCCTTTAGTACCAACACACCACATAGAAACGACTCGCACTTACAATAATAGTCGCAACTCCTTCCAGTTACGCGCAGCAGACCCCCCTCACGCTAGCGTAAATAGTTATAACAGAGGCTACGCGCCTAACCACCAAGACTATTTTGCAAACAACCATACATTTCACAGTAGGCCTGTAGAAGATTTTTTTGGAATACGACCTCTAGTGACACCTCTGTTGAAGCATATAGCTCAAGTTATTTCAAACCACATGCGAAACATAAACACGTTTCCCCCGTACAGTTTCCATCAGAGAGTACTCCCACCCTTTCCTCCTGGGTAAACTCCAATATCAACTTCACTAGCTCATATGATACATCCCTTCCATTCACAGGCAAGCTTATTTGTGGTGACTTCAACATGCCCGAAATTTCCTGGTTCCCTGTCAAGGCTCGGACAATGGACTCAGTATGTCAATAGCCCTACCAGACATCAAAATATCTTAGACTTAGTCTTTACCAGTGGCCTCACCCCCAATACTGTGTATATTGGAAAACGGTTTCCAGTTAGTGACCATAACATTGTCATATGCAACCTTGATATAAAAATCACAACCGGTAGACGTAAAACCGCAACACTTCGTAGAAACTATCACAAGGTTGATTGGAATAACTTTCTTAATTACCTAAGAAGCACTGATTGGGGAACTTTCATTACTGCAAACAATACGGACACACTAACCAACATATTTTATCTCAACATCAGAAGTATCATCAACAAAATCGCACCTTTAGAATACTGTAGACCTACGGTCTCCAAAGATCTTTATATGCCGGTCGGTACACGAAGACGTCTTCAAAGACATTGTACTCGATTCCACAACTTTAATGAATTTTCCTCTTTAGTGACGATGACTGAAATAATTATCCGAACAGAGGTATGAAGTACACAAAAAGCAGTCGCGAAGGAAAAACGCGCAGTCGAACTTAACAATAACTTCTCTGCACTCACCATACTCCTTCAAAATAAACTTAAACGTTCCAAATCGAGAGGGAGCGTATTCATTAAAGACAAACAAGTATACGAAGACCCTAAACTTGTTGCGGAACTATTTAGTAAACACTTTTGTTGCTCACTAACTAACGAAAAACCACTAAACGATTCAGAACCAATCCCAGTACCTCCTTATGAAATTACTAATGTAAACTTTAATGTACAAAATATCTCTAAGGTAATCAGTACATTGAAACACTCATACACTGATGGACCAGATGGTATTCCAGCTAGCATGCTAAAACGTGGAGGGGATGATATGTGTGTTTTGCTTCTCAAGCTATTTGCGATATCACTCTCTACAGCGTGTTACCCTACTGCCTGGAAAACTACACATATCGTTCCCAAAATTAAAACAGGACCTGAAGCAAATGTTAACAATTACCGACCCATACACATAACTTCAGTGGTATCTAGAGTGATGGAAAAAGTATTTAAAGCGGCTGTAGTCCAACATCTACTTACTAATAATATCATCTCGACCTCCCAGCATAGATTTCTTAGGTTAAGATCATGCGATACATGCCTAGTAGACTACCTGAATGTTATAACTCTGAAAAGAGACAACGGACTCCTTGTATCAGTCCTATTCTTAGACTTTAAAAAGCCTTTGATAAGGTCCCACATAAAAGGCTTCTCTTCAAACGGAAGTCCTTCGGAATAAACGACCCACTGTACTCATGGTTTGCCTCGTTCTTAATTGAACGTAAACAGATTGTAAAGTACAATGACTGTCATCACCTAGACCAATGACTAGTGGAGTCATCCAGGGAAGCGTATTAGGATCACTCTTGTTTCTTATGTATATAAACGAAATATGTAACACCATAACATTTGGGAAACCCTATTTATATGCTAATGATCTCCTGGTTGTCACAGGATGATTTCGACCCTTTCTTAAATTTTGGGATAACGTCTAACTCCGAGATTTTAGCTAAAATATTAGTCAACCTAATCGCTAAAACTAGACCACCATCCTTAAAGACCTCTGGGGCCAATCCGTCTGGACCAGCTGCCCTTCCTCGTTTCAGATTAGCTATAGCCTTTTGAACTT